TCCCGCCGCCGCTGCCGCCTCGGGGGCTCCGAGTGTCCGCTCCCTCAGCCTGAAGGGGGCCGATAGCCCTGGGTTCTCGCTCTCGTGCCCTAAGCCCTCACCCCAAGAATGAGCCGGCCCGCCCCCCCTAACTCTCGGGACACCGCTGCCGTCGCGGCTCCGGCTCCGGCTCCGCCGCAGATCCCACAAGCCCGGCAGCCGCGGCGGTGGCGGCGGCAGGCGGCATCCCAGGGTGATAGGCCGGAGCAATCGAGCGCCGAGCGCCCGGCCGCGTGTGCAATCGAGTAACGAAGCGGAGGAGGAACTGCCGCCGAAGGCAGGAGAAATCGAACGCCGAAGTATTCATCGCGCCGGTCCCGCCTCCTTTCCAATTACTTTCTTCGCGGCCGCCCCGCGGTGCGTGGTCCGGGTCTCTCCTGCCGCTGCTGAAGCTTAAAGTGGAGGCGGCGTGGGGAGGCGGCTAGGAAAAGGGGTGCGGGAAATTTAAAAAGAAAGAAAGAGAGCTCCCTTTCCCATGGTCACACCCTTCCCCTCCTATGCATGTACTTCTGTGCTTCTCTGTTTGAGCCAGCGTTTCTTACTGGAGGAAGGATCGGAGCGGCTGTTCTGTTTCACAGGCGCCCGGGGAAACTCCTCCTTCCCCGGAGGAGAGTTGGCAGCGGCGTCGGGGGCTGTGGGCTGTGGGATCCGCGCTCCGAGCCCGGTCCGCGCTGGAGCTGGACTTGTCATCGCTCAGAATAGCTCGGGTAAGAAGTGTGGTGTGGATGGATGGACGGCCTCGCGAGCGCCGGGTTGCTCGGAAGCCCAGTATGAACCAAACATGTTTCTCTTTTTCTTGCCTTTGATCTTTGTGCAATATGTTGGCTTTTTTTCCTCTAATGATGTCACTGGCGTTTTATTTTTGGTCTATTTGTAGACTCTTGTCTCCCTTGACCTTGGCTTTAATTTTATGCCCACCCAAGACGGCTTCCACCAGTTCAGGCTTAAGAGCTTGCTGGCAAAGTAAAAAAATTGAAAGTAACAACTTATGTGCCTTGTACATAGTAGGTCTTCAACAATGTTTTTGAACATAATTAGAACAGAACAGAAATTCCACAATATGTTGCCTCTTTTTTTTTTTTACACTTTTTTGGGGGATTTTAGTATTTCCCCCCCATTTCTCTCTGCTTTGCGCAGAGACTGGTCTACAAGGGGACATTTTCAAGTTCTGGTTTTATGGTGTTCTGGTGTGTTATTTGGGCTTATCAAGAGCTATGGGGATGCATTTCTAATTTTATTTTTTTTTTAATCCTCACCTGAGGGTATTTTTTCCATTGCTTTTCAGGAAGAGTGGAAGGGAGAGAGTGAGAGAAACATTGTTGTGAGAGAGGCACATTGATTAGCTGCCTCCCACATTCGCCTCCACTGCCTGGTAGGAGCCTGCATCAGAGGAACATGCCCTTGGCCAGAATGGAACCTGGGACCCTTCAGTCCACCAGCTGGCCAACGCTGTAACTACTGAGCCAAACCAGCCAGGACTTGCAGTTCTTATTTAGAGCAACAGTATTTCTAAGCAGGAAGTGACCTTAGCGATAATCTCACCCTGCCTCTTGTTTAACAGGTAAGGAAACTGAGGAAGAGCCAGGTTACCTGGTAAATCAACTACCAGTACCAAAGAGCCTGCAATGTCTCCAAGATAATGGTTAATTACTTCAACTTTGTTCCCTCCAGAATCTTTTGTGGTTAAACTTGTTGATATGTGGCTTGGTGATATATTTGGATTAGTCATTTCTAAAATCTAGAACGCTGATTTCTTATTACCTGACTCCATAGTCAGACTTACAAGTTTAAACCATTGTACTTTTCAGTGCTTGAGTGGACAGGGAATGTGTTGAAACTAGGAGATTGCAGGGCCCAGCCTTACACAGAGCCAGAGTTTTTTTTAACATTTAAAAAAATATTTTTTTATTGACTTCAGAGAGAGAAAGGGAGAGGGAGAGAGAGATAGAAACATCAATGATGAGAGAGTCACTGATCTGCTGCCTCCTGCACACCCCCTGCTGGGGATTCAGTGGGAAACCCAGGCATGTGCCCTGACCAGGAATCAAACTGCGATCTCCTGGATCCTAGGTCGATGCTCAACTGCTGAGCCACACCCGGTGGGCACCTTTGCATTCTTTCTTCCACCCTAGCTTGCTTAAATCCAACCCTGCTTTCCATTCCCACTGATACCATCCCAGCTCAGGCCTGGTTAGCTTTCACCAGGATGATGCATTAGTTTTTAAGCTGTCCTCCTTCCCCTAGGCCTTTCTACCTCCAGTTCATCCTACACTCTGCTGGAGGTGAAGTAACCTAAAACAGTTCAGAGCAGGCCACATCCAAACTAAAAAAACAGCTCCTTGCTGCCGCCTAAGTAAAATGCATGCTCTTTAAAGGGGCCTTCCAAATGTGATCCCAAATCACCATTGCTACCTGACTCATTGCCTGTGCTCTGCCAACCCAAATGGCTCACTGTTCCCCAAATACATCCAGCACTTTCCTTGCCCCTTGCTTCTGCTTGTTCTTATGTAAGGAATGTCCTTTCCTTCATCTCTGCCTGCCAAAAACCCACCAATCTTCAAACCCTCCTCCCACTCTACCTCCCACCAAATGCCAGTGCCCTCCTCCAGCAAGTCGTTTCCTATCCTCCAAGCTGGCAGTGATCTCTACCTCCTCTGAGTTCCCATGGCATTTGCTGTCTGTCTTCTGGAACCAATCACAGTATGTATTGTGATACAGTCCTTTGTATAACTCTAATATCTACTGTTAGGTAATAAGCATCTTAAGGGCAGAGGCCTTTAGTTATCCCCTGTAATGTCTTTCATATATCAATCCCTTAATGAAACCAGAAGCCAGCAAGCAAGAAAACCTGCTTGCATGCTAGATGTTTGGGGCTGCAAGAGACACTAAAATAATCAATTTAATAAACCCAGCCATGCAACCCCCATTCTTTCCCCTGTCCCTCCCCCACTGAAAAAAATAAACATACCTAGACCTAGGAAAATGACATGCCTTGCCCAAGGTCACACAAACAGTGCCAGAGGAAGGATTAGAATTCAGATCTCCTGAATCAGCCCTATCCCCAAATTGTTTCCTTCCTGCCCTTTTTCAGTTCTTCCCTAAAAGGATATTTTTCTTGTTAATAAAGGTTTCCTCAGTAATTTTATTCCTTTACATATTATTTAAGCTTAAAGCATTTATGCCACATTCCTGGCCCCACATATAATTTTAGCAAAATTATACTTTTTTTTTTAAACCAAAGGACCAGAGACATCAGAGAAACATCTGGTCTGATTCATCAGGGTAGCAGCAACATTTCTATTTATACATGAGTACAGCCCTATCTTTGTAGCGCTCAGCTGTTCCTCACTGCTCAGTATGTCCCCCTTTTCAACCTTGTCCATCCCTCATCAAGAGAGCATCCTGCATCCTGAGTCTTAAGGAGAGTCTAATTCAGTAAAAGAAAATATATTCCCTAGTCCCTAGGAAGGGTCTGTATTTAAAAGGAACTATTTCCTTACTTGCTCAGTCTCTGTTTAGGAGCCTAGGACAGCAAGCCTCTAGTGGTTGGGTGGCTGCCATTCATTCCACTGCATTCTGAGTAGAAAGAAGTTGGATAAAAACCAAAGCTATGGCATGAGTGAAGTCTGGAAGCAGGTCAGGTAGAAAGGAAGCGAGTATTCTAAACAGGGCAGCTGAGGTCGATGTAGAAAACTTAGGGATCTCTGGTTCTCCTCACAGCAACATTTGACAGTGATTTTAAATTAGAAACTGTGTGATCTTAGGTGTTCATTGATACCAAGAAAGACTCAGGAATCTTCTTGGGCTTTCTTTTAGGAGACATGGGTTCTTTAGAAGGTCCCTGTTTGCACCAACCAATGACAACATTGTTTGTGAAAGCAATGGAGCAGGTAGGAGACAAACAGACCTCCACCAGTCATTTCTCCTTGGCAAAAGCTCCTCCACAATAATGACCTCACCTCAGCATTCAACTACAGGAATGCAAAAAGAGTAAAAACACTCAGATGGAACCACAAAGGGCCCCTGACATCAGGGCCTAATTAAAACCTTTAGAGGTTCTAAATACTGAAAATAATATGGTGCCTCACCTCACCCCATATAAATAAAAAAAATTGCATAGTGATAGAA